GTTGTGGGGGGGGGGGAGTGGTAAAAATATTAGATTTTGAGCTGGTAGGCCTCCAACTCATTAAAAATTTTTTGGGGTAAAATGGTGGCGCGGCGTGCCTGCAGTGAGTCTACAGTGCGCCAGCCTGGGGAACTCCTAGCTTGGCACATCATGATGAATCGCCATAATTTATTTTTACATTTATGACAACCATGCTAGGAGCAAAACTCTTGCGTGCCTTGCCTTCTATTAAGAGAATAGGTCCCGAAAAAGCGGCCCACCTTTCATCGTCTATACCAGCTGCCACGCAAGAACCAATAGAAAGGATTTCGACACCCCTCTCCTTACAGTGAAGCCAAGTGAAGTGGCTGAACGCCCCTCTCTAGATAAGAAGCAAAACGCGCCATCACCTACAACCCTTTCCTCTGCCGGGGAGTTCCACGAAATGAAAACGGGCGGCATCGTTGTATGATCCACTTTTGTTACCCTGGTTTATATATCGGAGTACTCTTATGGCCGCCATAGTCAGTTAGGTGCTGTAGGCAGAGGAGGCCCCTTTCCCAATCAAAGTTTTCCCCCCTTAATTTGCATCCGAATATGGAGTAAGGATGAAATCAAGCGCCTGCCAAAGCGCTCAGGAGTTTTCCTCATGGCGCGATGCGCCTATGGTGCGCCAACTTGGGGTACTTTTGGAGCAATGCGCTTGCCGAAGCGCATATAAGTTTTCCTCCGGGAGCAGCACGCCTGAAGTGCTCCAGGCAGCGCACAAGTTTTTTGATATAATACAAAGTCACCAAGTTAAATGTGGAAAGAATGGAAAGCTATATATGAAAAGTAAAACTACCCGATGTTCAAAATCATGTGCCCAATACCACGGGGATCTCCAAAACTATGTGCCCAATACCATGAACTACCTAAAACCATGTGCCCAATATCATGGGCTATTTAATTTATTTGTGTTTGAAATATTTCTTCCAACTTTCAATGTATTAATAGACCGCTAAAAAGTGATTTGAATTAAATCAAAATGATGACCAATAAAATTGAATAGTATTTTGTTTATATGCAAACAATTGTGACGAAAATAAGTGATAATTGAAATTAACTGAAATTATAATAAATTGTTAAAATTCTCATATTTTCATAAAGAACGATTATTTATCGACAAATTGTGTTAAAATGGTTAAACATGTGTAAAAAAAATTGTACTTTGTGCTATTTAACGAATAAGAAGCCTAAAAGTATTAACTTTGAAAATATTAGTTCAAAATTGGGTGTCAACAATCATCCACATGTAGTATCATGCAATTAACATGAAATCAAGCACAAGTCAAATTTGAACATATTCAAAATCGGACTTCTTGGTCTTCGACATCCCATTTCCTTAGAAAGTGGAAAAGGAAAATTTGGACTTCTTGGTATTTGCATCCCATTCCTTGGTACCCAAGGGCATGACTTAGTCTCAATGAAGTGGTCGATAACCATGAGGTCTCAGGTTTAATTCCTAGTGGAGGCAAAAAACATTAGGTGGTTTCTTCTCATCTGTCCAACCTTTGGTGGATAGAGTTACACGTTACTGTGTTGGTAGGAGGTAGTAGGTACCTCATGGAATTATTGAGGTGCGAGCAAACTGGACTGACATGAGGAAGCTTTGGTCCTGAGTTTTCTTCGTAAATTGGACTTGCCTCTTTCATTTCGATGCCCTAAAATTTCTCCCTTTTCCTTCTCTCCAGTTAAGAATGTCAATATTATGAAATACTAAATATTGCAAGAATAGGTACCTTGCAATATGGGAAAGATTTGGAGTCCCTGTAATTTGTGTAACTAGGAACAGGAAATAGTTTCTTTTCCCTTCTGTATTACTTGTAAATGCTTATTTAAATCTCAACATGCTTGAGGAATCAAGAAATTCATTCTCCTTTCCTTTACATGATGCCGTTGCCGAGGGTTTGGGTCCCTTGACTGTTTAAAAGTTCTTCCCTATTTTGTTCCCAAAAGAAAGAGGGTTTGTGTTTTACGTGCCATCCATCATCTTCGGCAGAGTTTCATCCACCGGCTCATGGGTCTTTTTCTTGCAACCTTCCTACCACGATCACTCTATCAAGGTCAACCAAGTCCCTTGCTTCATCTTCTCTTTCACTTTCTATTGGGTTCGATTTTCTTTCCCAAACCACTTTACTGTTGTTGACCGGACCTTGAGTTTTTTCTCCCATATAAATTGCTTCTTTCCTTTCTAACTTTTTATCCTCGCTGTTCAGATCTTTCTTCTAGTTTGTCATATTCACAATTTCCTAATATTGACACTCTTAATGTCTCCAACTCTCGCATAATATGTGATTAGAATGGTATAAGTCCAGCCCTTCTCAAATTTAGGCGAGAAGTAGTAAAAATGATGAATGTCTATGTTGGAAGTAGTCGCACATCTAAAGACAACCAGCTATTAGGGCCATTAAAGTGATGAGGGCCAATGGGGACTCTTAGCTATATATTTTTAAATGGGAAGTTTCAATGCCTGGTGAAATGTTACAGATTAGTTTGAAAGAAACTGTCTATCCAAATAATGGAAGAAGCCTGTAGAAAATGGGACTATGGGAGTACGACATAATCTTCGAACTTTCTCTACTTTGGTTTTGGTGTCAGGATTCTGTTGGGTTAGGACCAGTGCAATTCTTTTGGTATGTTTTATTTGGAAATTTGTTCCTGAGATCATGCAAGAGCATCTTGTCTTAAATGTCTTAGTGTTCTTATAAAGTGATAATGTACTATTTATTCTTTTCTTTTCCCTCAATATTCTTCCTGGTTCAGCTGCATGACAAAATTTGAATGACTATGTTGTTTCATTTGATTGCTTATATGCAGGAAGATGTCAAGGATTGGACAATAGATGTTATAACTGACGCACTAACACGAGCTGAAGAATGTGCTAAACGAGGATCGAACTAAGCTTTTAAGTCGATAATAGTGGTAAGCTAGTTTAACAACAATTGCTTTTTATGTACTAGAAAGGCTCTTCAACCTCAGCTGCCCATTACAACATACCATCCTTCTACTATCAAAACCAGAATACATCACTTACCAAGCTCATGCTTTGAGGCTCCCATAGTCTCAATCTTGTCTAGATAGAGTTGCCCTGAGAAGAGTCAGAAGCAAATCCGGTTCTCTGTTTGACAATTTCTTCAGGATTGGTTTCCAGTCATCATATGCACTATGCATGTCAATAATTTCATGGATTGTTGGGGCATTCTCTGAGTCCCCTGGAAAATTTGAGGAATCCACTGTCTGCAGCATAAGTTCCAAAAGCACAGATACCACTTCTGAAGATGAGGAAGTATATAATCGAAGAATGGCCTTCATAGCTCTAGTAATCTGTTTCTTAGAACCTGAGACAAATTGTTCTGGAAAAACTCCTAAGACATTCAGCATTCCAGATATACTGATAGTAAAGCACTTTGGAACTGTGTCACAGACAATATATACCCGTCCCTTCAAAAAGCAAAAATCCAGTATGAACCACTTCATGAATTAAGAAATCATACACGACTTCACAGAAAGCAACTCTATACCCTAATTACTATGTCAATGTCAGAGTTAGACTCTAGACAGAATTATAAGAATATAAACAAATATAAAAGATGCTAAATTCAACAGTTTATGAAACCTTGAAAAAATCCCAAATGGTGGCAGCTGATTGCCGAACAGCCCTGAAATCTGCCGCGCGAACACTTTTAAATCTCAAAGGACACACTAGTTCATCTCACTCGCTAATGTTTTTTCCTTTTATGAATGAACTAACATGCTAACATTATCGGTGCATAAATTTGACATTGTACTGATGCTTTATTAGTCACAATGTTTTAATGCTCATTTTTCAATAAATTGTTGCAGGTCATTAAGGTGGATATAGCAAATCAGTGTCAAGTGCCAATACTTTCATGTGCAGAAGATTGTCAAAAGAAGCTCATAAAGTAGACGTAGGAACTCTGCCAATGAACCATGAGGTTATAGATCTGAGGCTAAATAGAATTACCAGAAGTTTTAGAATATGGTAGATTCCCAGAAATGAAAGGGAGAAACTTGTTTCTAGCACAAAGTTGCCCAAGTCTCATTCCTGTATAAGAGAACAAAATTGTTGAAAAAAACCCCAGAAAAATAGTAAATGTATGACAGAGAAGAAAGCCATTTTTTTTATGACCGAGAAATCCGTCTGTGACTCGCCCTTTGGACCAATCATAGCCTTCTAAACTCGGTGGATAATGGACCAGCCCATCTATCCTTCTCCACTTAAATATTGGGCTTCGCTTTGCATGGTGTGGGGAGATAGCCAGAAAATTTGCATTAGTTATTTTTTCTGAATTGGATAAAAATAAAAAAATAATCCCAGTGAAAACATGCATGTAATGAAAACTCCTAGAAAGATAAACTATGCCTTCCTCCGATTTGTCAAGTTCTCTTTGTCTGAACCTTCACCGGTAATGAGGGGTACTTGATCTGGATTCTTCCTTTGTTGGTCAGTGACTCCACATCATAACGGAATATGAGACATTTCTCAATGCCATGATAAAGTCAGGTTTCAGCAGTTTCACTTCCAAAGGCAAAGGTCATTCTTGGCAGGGGTCAAGATCCCACCTTGAACCAACTTGAGGTAAATACTCAGATACGAATCCTCAAAAACTGTGAAGTCGTGACGTCAGATCATAGTATTCTTTGCGACCGGCATGCTGGTTGATCACAAGGACAGTGTGCCCCCCCCACCCCCACCCCCCACCACGTATAGCTGATTTTCCCACTACTGATCAGGTCATGAATCACGGTCCTCAACTTCATGCATGCATTCATCTGTGGTGTGCCCTTTCTGGTTCTGATGGTAGGCGCACTTCTTTGGGTTCAACCCTAGAAGTGGATCCCTTGATGGGATGTAGGGTGTCTATGGCCTAAAGAGTTTGATAAATAAGGGCACATGAAATGACTTCGGGACCCAAGTCATAGTCCCGAAAGTACACTTGGAGGGTGATCTTTCCATTCCCTTCTTTAAGTCGCCTTAAGAAAGGATCGCATCATCAATTTTTTTTTTTGGGTTTTTTCTCAGCAACTTCAGGCTTAATATCTTCAGGAACAGTGACGTTAACCTCTTCCACGAGGAAATGGTATTTTTCACGCAGCTTCTTGATCTTGATCGCTTTGTCCTCTTTCTTTTTCAAAGTTATGGCTATCATTTCATCAACCATAGCCAATCTTCCTTTTGTGATCTCAATCTTTAAGTCCATCGTAGCGCTCTTTGCTAATGCAACTGCATTGGCAAAGTCCACTTCTATGGTCTTTTTCTCAGCTTCTTGAATCTCTTGATTGAGCCGGTGCAGTTTCAACATCAATTTCACTTCAGTCTGTTCAACCTCAATATCTTGATTTTTGTCCATCTTGACAACAAATTCAACATTTCCTGAGATGATTGCACTCTATTACAATTTGGCACTACATGCTCACTAACACTGCTTTTAATGGATACAAAAACCATTGTAATAATTTATATTGATTCATTCTCAAAAATATTTATGTTTTGTTTTGGACTTTACCCTTTGAAGAGCAAAAGCAACAGATGGAGGAGAAGAAGAGAAAAGAGAATCAGTAGATTTTTATAGGAGTAGTATGTGAGTTTTAGTCCTTTAAGTTCATCCATATTGAATATTTCTCATTATATCTTTTTGTCCAAATATATATTTAACTAATTATACTTTTAATCCAAATATATTGCTCATATTATACATTAACAAAAATATACTCTTAATGTTGACAGAGAAATACATCTAAAGTTGATAATCAAACTCCTAAGCTTATGAAAACTCACCTTTTCAATCAATTATTTCTCTTTTCTATGTTTTCTTTGGATTAGATTGAAACAACATAAATATTTTTAAGAATGAATAAATATAAATATTTGCACATAAATTGTACAAATATTTTTTGATTTCATGTCTATGCTATAAAAAAAAGTAACTGAAAATGGTTAGAAAGAGTAAAATACTGGACAAATGATTTTTCTGGCGATAAAAAGAGAAAAACAAAAGGATCATATTAAATTAACGGGATAAATTTTTCTAAAGAAATTAAGATATTTAGTTAGTTTTTAATTTTGAGTTTGATATATATATATATTTTTTTTGGTAAACGTTTAATTTTTATTTTTTTTATATTTAAATCCCGGATAACCCGCAGCCGCAAACAGGAAAACTACGGGAAAGGAGCAAAAGAAAGCAGGAACAACCAACACACGACATTTGCCCGATCATCCCTTTCTTCTCCCACCACTGCTCTGCGAAATCAAGTAAGCCCTCTTTTCTCTCTCTCTTTTCTTCCTTCTTTTAGCCACAGTCCCCCTCCCAAATCCTTTGTGTATTGAATAGTTTCATCAGCTCATGAAAGCATTATGAGGCTTTTAGGCTGGGTTTGATTTCCTTGTTGCTTATTTTGGTGATTGTTGAGCTGCGAACTATATAATTAACACCATTTCTGGGAGGGTAATACCGTTGCTTAGATGTAAAGTAGACAAAACCACCATGGGTTGTGGTGCACTGGTTGGTGGGAGTGCTTCACCCTTAACCAGAGGTCTCGGGTTCGAGCCCTGGATATGTAGAAAATCATGTTGGGACCGCCACCCCCGAATGGACCCTGCAGAGCGCGATCCAGATTTAGTCGGAGCTCCAATGTGGGCTACGGACACCGAGTGGGAAACCAAAAAAAAAGAAAAAGATGTGAAGTAGACAAAGTGAACTTATTGCACACAAACTGTTCGATAAATTGCCTGATAGGGAAATGAGCATAGCTTGTTGGTAAAGTCTAAGTAAACGAGTGTTAGTGGGAGATTCATAGGAATAAATGTGGGGTAGTTTGAAATGTTGTGGACTGCTTGGTCAGTTCACTCGAGCAGGAACTTGTAGCAACTGTGATTGGTCATAGCCATTTTACTGAATAATTAATTACCTGCACGACTGTCCAGTTCATTTGAAGTTAGAATGATTGATGAGGAATTATGAATGAAGTAAGTTGTCACGTGAATTAAGTTCAAGGATTTACTACTACACCATAATGTCAGTACTTGATGGAATTCTCGAAACATCGAATTCGTCGTCCTTTATATATGACTATAATAATATCTCTCGTATATTGTTTCAGAGTCACATCAAGTTTGCTGGTGCTTATGGGCATTAGATGGCCGAGGATTCTAACACCGAAGCAGCTCTCACAAATAATACTGAGTCAGAAGAACCCACTAAAAGCACTTCAATTTTTTGACGAAGCAAAATGCAAGTATCCAACTTACCGTCACAATGGTCCTGTTTATGGCACTATGATTAATATTTTAGGCAGATCAGGTAGAACAACTGAGATGAAGGGAATAATTAATCAAATGAAAGAGGACTCCTGTGAGTGTCATGACTCAATATTTGTGAACGCCATTAGAAGCTATGTACAAGCTGGATTAACAAACGAAGCCATTTTTCTTTTTAAGTCTCTTCCGGAGTTCAATTGTATAGAATGGACAAGATCTTTGAATACTCTTTTGGAGATATTGGTAGAAGAATCTAAGCTAGAATCTGTTTATCAGTTATTCCTTGAGAACTCTTGTGGATGGGAAGTGAAGTCTCGGGCACATTTCTTGAATTTGTTGATGAATGCTCTTTGTAGAATGAAACGCTCTGATCTTGCATTGCATATTTTCCAAGAGATGAGTTACCAGAACTGTTATCCAAACAAAGAGAGTTATAGGATCTTGATGAGGGGTTTATGTGAAGAAAAGCGGCTCAATGAGGCTACTCATCTATTGTACTCAATGTTCTGGAGGATATCTCAGAAGGGAAGTGGTGAAGATGTGGTTGTCTATCGAGCTTTATTGGAAGCGTTGTGTGATAATGAAGAAGGGGAGGAGGCCATACAAATTCTTGGTAAGGTATTGCGCAAAGGACTAAAAGCTCCGAAAAAATGCTACAAGCAGATTGATCTTACTCAATGCCGGAATGGATCAGATACAGAAAATATGAAAGTTTTGATTAATGAAGCTTTGATAAAAGGCATAGTTCCCAGTTCAGATAGCTACAGAGCAATGTCTGTTGACTTTTATGCCGAAGGCAAGATTGATGAAGGTAACAAAGTGCTCAAGGAAATGCATGACAGAGGCTTCAAACCGTCAGTGGTGATTTATGAAGCAAAGGTAGCTGCTCTTTTCAGGGATGGCCAGGTTGACGAGGCAATTATGGTCATTGATTGTGAGATGGTGCAAAAAAACTGTGTTCCGAATATTAGATTGTATAATGTAGTTATAAAAGGCCTATGCCATGAAAGAAAATCTACTTGTGCTATTAAGTATTTGGAAAGGATGTCTAGGCAAGTAGGTTGCGTGCCAAACTATGAAACTTATGAAACTTTGGTAGATGGGTTATGTGAAGATGGTAAATATGTTGAAGCAAGCAAGGTGATGGAGCAAATGTCAATTAATTCCTTTTGGCCTAGAGTTGGAACTTTGAATTCTCTTATCCGAGGTCTCTGCCAAGTAGGTGATTTACACAGTGCAATTATGTGTTTGGAGGACATGATCTCTCTAGCCTTGACTCCAGATATCCATGTGTGGCAGTCATTATTAGGTGCAATCTGTTGTGAAAACGGTATGAATGAGGCTTCTTTCAAGACACTAGAGCAGCTACAGACACCTTAGCATAGTCTATAACTACAACTGTATTGCTGGATTCCCCCTATTTCTTTTCTGGTAATAAACCTTTTTTGCTCAACACTTCCAAGCCTTTCTTTTCTATTTTCCCTTCTCCCTAGCTCTGAATTCTAATTATCTGCCTTGATTCATTTGGTAATATAATTATATGCTGATATGTTGACCTTAATGTCCGTGCTTTGTTTAGTAGATTCAAGTCGTTGCTTATTCAAGGTGTACATTCACCAAAGAGGGATAAATATCTAGCTAAGCTTATATATACAACATAGATGATGTACTTTTAACTAACCAAATAGAAGTTAAAAGTTGAAATAATTACTTTATAATGTAAAATGTAACGAGTTCTATTCCTGGATGGACATAGATTAGAATTTACTACAAGGTTATTTTGAGGTAAGTGGAAAAGCAAGGCAATAGAAAGCCAATTTCATTAGCTAACAATGAGGTTAGCAGAAAAATAGAAATTAAGTTTTCTAAAAGAGCATCCTATGCATAACTCCATCCAATAAAAGACCGATTCTCGTTGTACATAAATGCTGAGGGGGAAGTCTTGGTTCAGACACTTCTTAATAGAAGGAGATTGGTCATGGGGTTAATGAAGGATAGAATATGTATTTTTGAAATCTAGATGCAAGAGCCCCAGGTGCATGTACCGCTTGAGAAGATATTGAACTTCCTTATGGTTTTAGCTTGAAGATTCCAAAGAGACGAGGTCAACCTCTGAATTGCTATATAGGTCTATGATAGGGGGTGTTAATTTTCTGTAGATGAATTAAGATGGTTGATATTTATCCAAAACTCTCCAGCTTTTGGGACTTGAAAAATCAAAGGCAGTCTACTCAATTATAATATTGAATTTAGGCAGTAATTCACATGAAAATACTCTTTCAAGTAAGTTGACAGGAGAGAATAGGAGGCAAAAAGAGGATGGTGTAGTATGTGCCATGAATAATAGGAATTACTCTTAACCGTATGAAAACGTATATCCAGGTTATGCAGTTGTAAGAACTAGCATGCATGTGACTTACAAAAATATGAGCAGAAATGTAGGGAGGCGAAGTGGATTGGAACAAAAATGTCCATACATGTGCAAATTGAGATAAACAAAAATGGTAAAGATTAAAATGCAAACAAGATTTCAAGCTACATAATGTGATCCTACTGAAATTTTTGTGTTACGGTTGTTAATGCTGGATAGATGAACGATACGCCTCAATCACCTGATGTTATCATCATAGACTTCTAAATGATTTGCATATGAGAAGATTTGAACCTTAGCAACTGCAGTGATTGTGAGACTTCCAAGTATATTCTTCTTTCTTTTTGATTACCTATATATTATCATGTGTAGCTTCACCAAGTTTCATTACTTTATTCACAGGATACATGATGAAGCATTTTTACAATCCATTGTTCGCATTCAGTACCAGCCTTTCAAGGAGTCTTCCGTGTGTTTCTCGGAATCACTAGCATACTCTAAATCTTTTCAATGTTATTGATAAGGATTATTGAGGCATCATATTTATGTTTGTGTTTCTTTGGATGGCTAGTATTCATGCTCTAAAGTAGTCTCTTATTTGGCAATCCTTTATTTCTTACCAGCTGGGTTATGAACAGCTTGGTATTTAAGGAAACGAGCTGAAGACATTTTTGTGCTCTGTTGTACCATTTCAGTTTTGCTTCTTTTCTTTCCACAATTGGAGAAGATATGGAAATTTTGTTACAAATTGAGGAATTTCTGATTGGAAAACTTGAAGTTCGTTCTAGCATTTCTCTTCAAAATCTTCCTAGGTCCTTATGTCCTTAGTTGAACTGTTTCAGTTTCCCCTCGAGATTTCAAAACAAAGATACAAACAGATTGTTCTTAAGATTCAGAAACGTTGAAATGAGATGTAGAAAGCAATATTTCATGATCTTTCTTTTGTGTGTGGGAGCCTGGGAGGTATGTCCGAAAGAAAGTAAGAAGAATCCTTTTCGGTTGATTAGGACGAAGTTCCTTAAAAACCTCCACCTTCTTTAAAATATGAACAGTTCCTATAGGTTGAGCCCCTTTTTCGAGGAAACATAAAATAGCAGGCACATTTAAATAAGTTTGATTCTTTATCAGATCATAAAAACCCACTTTCCAAAGATCTTTTCCTTCTCTTCGGGATCAAACATCAATTGCAATGACAAGCTAACTTGAACCTGGATTCCAAATGAACAAATTCAAACTTGAAAAGGATCTTCCTCGAGGTAGAGCTTAAATCTTGAGTCCTTTTACTAGAGATGGACTTCTCTTCTGTAGGACAAACTAACTGTGAACAGTACTTTGTAGATATCGCGAACAACAATTAACAATGAAGTTGAGAAATGGGGCAAAGGTATGCAACACCAGTAGTAATATATTGCTATGGTTTTTTGTCTTTAACCGTGAATTCATTGTATTTGGGAGACAAAATCCGATTATGATGATCTCTCATTTAATGTGGTTCCCTCTAGATTTAAAAGTTGTGTAGAGGTTTTATAATTAGTTTATTAATTGGTGTCAACAATAAAAAATGATTTAGCCTTTTAATATCTTAAAACGAAGTAAATGCACTATCTAATCAATGAATTATGTTTCCCAAGTTTTTTCAGAAAAGGCATAAAAACTAAGTTGCTCGGGCTTTTCACTTTTGGTGCCGCACTTGTGCGACACGACGTGGGATCCGTACTCGATCTGGTCAACTAGTTTTGGATACTTTGACCAAATTCGAGGGTGAAATTCTGGATTCAATGATTTTTATAATCAGAACAAATACTAATGTGAAATTGAAGAAAATGAAATACCTTGTATATATAAATCTCTATTGTACTAAAAAGGGCGGGATAGAGAGGGACGGACGGACATCGAGGATCTATACAAGCACCTGAATTATATGTACTAAAATTATGCTAATGCTATAGACTCATAAGCATCGGAACATATACCAAGACACATACTGAAACATAAACAATACTATAGAATCCTTAGTGATTAATGGAGAAGAGTCTTCAGATCCTGTTGCAATCAGATATGAAATTGTGGATTTTTATCAGATTTTGTACAAGGAGACAGAAAGTTGGAGACCATCTTTAAACATCTTAGATGTTCAAACAATCACAGAAGAAGAACAAATATTGTTGTCTAGAGATTTTGAGGAGGAAAAAGTTTTGGAAGGAATAAAACAGTGTGCTGTTGATAAAGCACCTGGACCAGATGGCTATACAATGGCTTTCTTCAGTGTTTTTTGGGAAACTATCAAAGACGATGTGATGCAAACCTTCCACAAATTTCATGCTCATCAAAAGTTTGAAAAGAGTTTTAATGCCACATTTGTAGCTTTAATTCCAAAGAAGGTGGGGGAAAATGAGCTAAAGGATTTTAGACCTATCAGCTTGATCACAGGGGTATACAAGATCATAGCTAAGGTGCTGGCAGAAAGGTTAAAAAGGTGATCAGTAAGCTAATGGCAGAGAGGTTGAAGAAGGTGATCAGTAAGCTAGTAAACAAGCGCCAAATGGCCTTTATCAAAGGAAGGCAAATCATAGATGCTGCACTTCTAGCTAGTGAGTGCATTGATTCTAGAATTAGAGGTGGAATCCCTGGACTGATGTGCAAGCTAGACATTGAGAAGGCATATGACCATTTGAACTGGGAGTTTCTAATCAATGTCCTAAGGCAGATGGGGTTTGGGTGGAGATGGTTAAGCTGGATAAATTTCTGCATTAAAACCACTCGGTTCTCCATACTTGTAAATGGAGAACCAGTTGGTTTTTTTCCAGCAGAAAGAGGCCTGAGACAAGGGGACCCACTATCCCCCTTTCTATTTATCTTAGCCATGGAAGGTTTGGACAGATTGATGAGAGTTGCTTCTCAGAATGACTGGATAAGGGGCTTTTCCATAAAGAACAGGGTAAATAATACAATTGAACTAACACATCTTTTGTATGCAGATGACACATTGGTATTCTGTGAAGCTGAGCAGGAACAAATTTGCTACTTAAGAGTGATCCTGGTGGTCTTTGAGGCTTGCTCAGGATTGAAAGTAAACTGGAGAAAGAGTAGCATTTTTCCAATTAAGGAAGTGCAACAGATTGAGGATCTTGCAAGCATCTTGAAGTGCAAGATAGAGAAGCTCCCAACAGTTTACCTTGGTATGCCTTTGGGTTCCGAGCACAAAGCAGGGAAAATTTGGGATGGCATTATTGAGAAAACAGAGAAGAAATTGGCTATATGGAAATCTCAATACCTATCTCTGGGAGGTAGAGTTACATTAATTAACTCAGTTCTGGATTCTTTACCCACTTATGTGATGTCCCTCTTTCCTATTCCTAGTAGCATAGTGAAGGGTTTAGATGCACTCAGAAGGAACTTCTTATGGCAAGGGAACAAGATAGAAAAGGGATTCAACCTGGTGAAATGGCCTGTAGTACAACAAAGCAAGAAAAATGGGGGGCTGGGAGTGAGAAATTTAAAAGTAACATGAGCCTCCTCTCAAAATGGTTGTGGAGATATAATCAGGAGGAGCAGGCTCTATGGAAAGAGATAATAATTAACCACAAATATGGGCAAGAGGATTTCTAGTGCACTAGTGAAGTTAATGAAACTTATGGAGTTGGAGTGTGGAGGACCATCAGAAACCTTTGGGAGAGTCTAAAGAACAACTCAAAAATTGTGGTGGGTAGAGGAGACAAAACAAAGTTCTGGCTAGATGATTGGTGTGGAAATGGGATTTTGAGGGACTTGTTCCCTATTCTTTTCTCAATATGCACAAATACCAACAGCAAGATAGAGGAGATGTGGTCACCACAAGGTTGGAATATAATATTTAGAAGACTGCTAAATGACTGGGAGATTGATGGAATGGTGGAGTGTTTGGGCTTGATTGGTGGATTCCCAGGTACTACTCTAGAGCCAGACAGATTAGCATGGGGACATCACAAAGATGGGGTATTTTCAGTGAATAGATTATACAACTGGGGACTTAAAAGATGTGCAGGAAGATCCATTGGACCTTGGAACACAATATGGAAAAGTGTGGCTCCTGCCAAGGTGAAGTGTTTCACTTGGTTGGTTGCTAGGAAAAAATGTTTGACTCATGAGGCAATGCAGAAGAGGGGCATCAACATAGTATCCAGATGTCTCCTTTGTAAAGAAGCTCTGGAGACTAACAAACACTTATTCATGCACTGTAAGGTAACTGCTCAGGTGTGGGCTCTGTTTACAAGCATAGCCAATGAATATTGGACTATGCCTGAACACACCTCTGACCTTCTTAGCTGTTGGATCAAAAGGGGAGGCAGCAAAAGTCAGAAAAGATGGTGGAGAACAGTTCCAGCATGTATATGGTGGATTATATGGAAAGAAAGGAATCAGAGAATTTTTGAAGGAAAGGAGTGTACAATACAGAAGATCAAATGGAAAGTAATTACTACTTTAGGTTTTTGGTGTAAAGAACAGGACATAGAAGAGGAGTTCCAATTAGTGGACTTCATAGGATCTCTGTAAGTATTTCTTTTTAGTCTTTTCCTTTTGTTGTAACAGTTTTTTTTTTTTGGAGGTGGCCAGCATAGCCCTTAATGCTGAGGAATATAAAAAGTTACCAGTTTCAAAAAAAAAATAACAACAAAAGGGCCCATTGGGCTACTTTACAACTGAAACGAAACTAAGCCTAAGAAACCTCTAAAGAGTTTGTATCTGAGAATCTGACAACTTGTCGGGATAGGGCCCCACATACCTATTTTAACCAATGTATATACCTAACAAAATATAGGCTCTAGATATCTGCTAGATCTAGGTATAGGTGGAGCTTGCATTGGTAGAATTGTAGCTCCCCCAAAATAGGGATATCAGTACTTATAAAACATGTGCTAGTATGTAAAGCAGATTGAATAACAAATAGACATGTAAGAATGCTCAAATGAATCAACGTGCCTTAATGGCGAACATGCGACTTCAGGTCATGCCTTAATGTCGAAAGAGGTTTTAGCTTTACATACCTTACTTAGGGACATACTATCTTACGTCGTGTTGTCAAATTCCTTTGTTAACAACTTTATCTATAACATAACATCATATAGGGTAGTATAAAAGGATAACCAAGAAGCACAACAAGGCCGAAAACACAATAATAGTTCACAAGCGACAAGCTCAACAACTACGATAGATAAATGGTGTATCACCACACCCTTCTCTTTCTCTACTTTCTAAGTGCGCTCATGACTTACCTATGAGGTCAATACTACTCCTTAATCCTTAATCCATAAAGAATCAGCCTCTTAATCATCCAAAACTTACATATAAACTTGAACTTGTGGCTTCCGAACACCACCTCGTGAGTTCTTTATTAAAAGGTGTCAAATTCTCTAATAAGCTCATAGATTAAGTTGGAAGATAACTCTTACAATCAATGACTATAGGAGATCATATAAACAGCTACACCATATACGTAAGCAATTGAGGTATTTCATCGAACACTTGGTGAGCGACAAGCTTGCAAGAACTATAAAAAATCATGTTTTCTCCACCTAACCTTTCATTTCATCGTAACAAACTTACTGCCCCAATACAATACCATCCACCCCTCCTTTAATCAATACAACAACCAACATAGTCTTCTACAAACTCCCTCCTCTCCAAGTACATCAATTACAATGGGTAAAACACGGACTCACAACTTCCTATCACCTTCCCATGAGTCGTACCTGTAAATTATACTTAAAACATCTTTACCACTATATTCATGGAGATAGAAGATGAACCATACCTCTATGACAATTAAAACCAATCCCTACACTTTGTATTTTTCGAGAACCACACCTTTTCCTTCAAGAAAATACTTAGATAAGTATATATGTATGATTGATTCTTGAAGAAATCAACTTACCTTAAGCTTGGGAGGATTGGAGATGATCAAAACACTTGAAAACAGTACAAATATGTTTTGGAGTAGATGGGAAATGAAATCCCTAAGTCCAAATATAAAAACAACAAGTTTGGCTGACATTTCCTAAAGTGCCACATGTCCTGGAGTGATTGGGCGGCGCACATGTCTGTCAATGAACATAACTTTTGACTCCGAAGTCGTATTCACAAGCGATTTGTTTTGCTGGAAACTAGACTCAAATACCTTTCATTTGATAGGTTGTAGGCCCTCTAATTCCTTATTATTCGGAGATATGCTCGTTCAAAGTCAGATGATAAATGAGATCATTTGAAATATTCCTCCACAATGAACCTTTAAACTTGATCCTTTTCTTTAATGATTTCTTTGGCCTAGAACTTGGGTTTAACACTTCAAATGACTTAATATAAGGGTTACTTGGTATTCTTAAACATTTGCAACAATATTCTCCCAATATCACACCGATGCATCGGCACTAGTCACAAATATATTTTAAGTTGCAGGGTATTACATCCTATTACTCCCTGAACTTAATCATCAAGATTGCACTGATTTTTGTGTTTAACCTATCGTGTCTAATAAAATGATGTTATTGCATAGTTAAGTACTTTTTTTGTACTGATTTTATTTCTATGATGCTGCATCGCTCGTTTTGATATATATAAAATTATTCTTGATATTTTGCATAGGTTTTTCCTCATTTATGAAGTTGTCAAACTTGTAAAGTTGGTATTTTGCACATGTTTCCTTCATTTATTTGGTGTATAAAACTTGCAAGTTCTTTTTCATGCCATTGGATCAAAATTGCAAAAAAAATTAAAAATGCACCGAAACACAACTAAAACTAGACCAAAAATCCACCAAAAAATGCACTTAGATAACAACAATTCAACAAAAACTAGACCAAAATAATTCAGGGCTTTAAATAATACGGATAAATTAAGTTCGGGGAAGAGGGGTTATAGGATTCTCACACAATTTGGTCAGGGGGCAATCCACCAAATCAAAGTTCTATGAGACTAGTTTCTAACGCGCTAAACCATTTATCCATATGACTTAAGTATAGAGAGATATTCACATTTTTGTGAAATTGCACAAACATGCACGTGAAGTGGGCCCCTAGGTCGATGGAGGTTTACAAATATCATCTTCATCATCATTTATATCTTTTATTCCTGTTAAAATACCAGAAAACTAAGAGAAAAACACCTAAAATCATCCTTAGATATTGATGATCCTAGCCCAAGTCCTTCACAGAAGTTGTATCTGTGGCATAATAAATATTAAAACAAGAATAACAGTTTGATATCTTTATAACACTTCCTGTTCTCTTTGATGTTAAAAGTTTGCTTTCACGTAACATTTTATTTCCCAGCTCTAATTCATGCCAATGTGTGTGACCATATGTCTATCTCTGTGTTTGTGTTTGTTTATGTGTATTCTTTTTTATTTTAATGATGTGTGAGACAGCAGTTCTCAGAGAGCTGAAAGTATGTTTATCATGTGGGAAGTAATCAACAATCATTAATCAATGCAGCTT